AAAAATAAAGGGAACACAAAAATAAGACATCCTAGATCTGAATGAATATTCTTATTAAATACTTTGTTCATTACATAGTTGAATGTGCCGACAACAAAATCACACAAAAATTATCAATGGAAATCAAATTTAGCAACCCATGGAGGTCTGGATTTGGAGTTACACTCAAAATTAAAGTGGAAAAAAACACTACAGGCTGATCCAACTTTGATGTAATGTCCTTAAAACAAGTCAAAATGAGGCTCAGTAGTGTGTGTGGCCTCCACGTGCCTGTATGACCTCCCTACAACGCCTGGGCGTCGTATCCCTCCCCATCTGTTGAGAGACGGCTGTTCAATTTTGACATAGATGGCCTCTTTAAATATATGAATTGTATTTGCACAACATACCGGTTGAAGTCTGGTAGGCCAGGTTGTGGCCAATGTGGCAGGATCCTAGCCAGTGTCATTAACTGAGTGTGTTGTGTGACCGAAGGCCACAGCTCAGCTAATCATGGATAATTAGGTTGGGAAAGGCATGCATTATAGCACGCATGATGCATACATTTATAGAAGTCCTGGCAGTGTGGGATTCAAATTTTTTTACTATTGGTTCTGTAGGCGTGGCTTGGGCGTGGTATGGATTTGTGGGCATGGCAGCGGTAGGATACTGTAAAATCTCCATTCCCTCCCCATCCCACTAACCTGCTTTCCAGCTCCGTTCTCCTGTGCAGGGCAACCAAAGAAGACCCAGCCAATCAGCTGGGACTTGGGAAGCAGAGAATAGGTGGGGGTGGGCCAGTCAGAGGTGGGATTTGCCGGTTCTCTGAACTACTCAAAATTTCTGCTACCGGTTCTCCAGAACTGGTTAGAACCTGTTGAATACCACTGTCCTGGTATGTCTTCTTGTGAAGTCAAGCCTCACAAAATCCACAACCTCACAAAATCTGCAAACGAAAGCTGCATTTATTGATAGACAAACTCAGGAGCAGTCACGTTAGCCCAGAAGACAAGGGATTCCAGAAAGACACAAGCCCCTCACTCTTCATTGCCGTTCATACATCTCCTTAAGGATCTTCATGCTCTCAGCATAGCGCAACTGGTTCTTCTGCGAAGCTTCTTTCCACCTGGAAACAGGCCACAAGTCAACCATCGCACATGGATTTTTGCATTATCCTTCCCACAATTTGTTTCCCGCTACATGGCGATTCTCGCATGGGGCCAATAACTGGATATTTCCCCCCTCTGGCCCAGAGTTTGGCTTTCTGTTACACAAGCCTTACCTTTGTCGGATCTTCTTCCATCTCTCCATATTCTTGTAGATGAGGGTGGACATTGAAGGGACCGCTTCAGAAGTCTGAGAGGGTTTATGGGAGAGAGGAAACATAGGCAAGATCATTCATTTGCTCAAAGCTAAGGTACTGTATGAATGTCCTAACAAGCACCTTCAATTTTTTTTTTATTTTAAGAATAGAATAGAACTCTTTATTGGCCAAGTGTGATTGGACAAACAAGGAATTTGTCTTGGTGCAAATGCTCTCAGTATACATAAAAGAAGAGATACATACATTTAAGAATCATAAGGTACAACACTTAATGATAGTCATAGGGTTCAATAAGCAATCAAATCATACTAGGAAACAGTCAATATAAATCATAAGGATACAAGCGACAAAGTTAGAGTCATACAGTCACAAGTGGGAGATGGGTGATAAGGAGTGATGAGAAGATTAACAGTAACAGGAGTGCAGATTTTGTAAATAGTTAAACAGTGTTGAGGGAATTATTTGTTTAGCAGAGTGATGGCTTTCGGGGGGAAAACTGTCCTTGTGTCTAGTTGTTCTGGTGTGCAGTGCTCTATAGTGTCGTTTTGAGGGAAGGAGTTGTAACAATTTATCTCAGGGATGTGAGGGGTGTGTAAATATTTTCACAGCCCTTTTTTGACTTGTGCAGTATACAGGTCCTCGACTGAAAGCAGGTTGGTAGTAATGGTTTTTTCTACAGTCCTAATTATCTTCTGAAATCTGTGTCTATTTTGTTGGGTTGCAGAACCAAACCAGACGGTTATAGAGGTGCAGATGATAGACTCAATAATTCCTCTGTAGAACCGAATCAGCAGCTCCTTGGGCAGTTTGAGCTTCCTGAGTTGAATTTAAGAAGAGCATGGGATGGCGGTTGCTAAATTAATTGGAAACTTATCTGTCTGTGAAGCTTGCAATCCTAAATTCCTTTTCTGTTTATTTTACTTTTGTTGATTTAGTTGGTGGCACAACTTCAGTTTTTAGCTGCATTTTTAAGTTTACACTTACATCATTCTGACTCATTCATCTTCCTGTTTTCTGTTCCTCCTGTTCTTTTAAATTAAAACTTCTTGTTAAGTACCCTTTCCTCTCTTGAACTGAGAAAAGTATTCTGAAATAATCCTCCCCTCTGACAAACTTGGCACAAAAGCCTACTCTCTCCACACAACACAATCAAATCAGCTGAAAATATAGTGGTTTGATTGATACAACAAACCAAGCTTGGTTGGGGGATTGTTATTCTGTTATTGTATGTGTGTGTGTGTGTATATACCCATGCATAATCTATTGTATTGTGTGAATCCAGGATGTTTTAGTTTGTGGCTCAATGCCCTGTGGAAACCCAGAAAATGGGAGACAATTTAGCAAACCAGTTAAATGCTCATAGAATGTGATATAGCAACTATGCCTTTTTTAAAGCTTTGATTTAGGTTTTGGCATGTTGTGTGAATCTGGGAGTGGGGCGGTGGCCTAGAAGTGGAGCTCTCGCCTCACAATCAGGAGGTTGTGAGTTCGATCCTAGGTAGAGGCAGATATTTCTTTCCGTGAGCACACTGAGAATATATCTGCTGCACAAAACTCCACATTGGCAACCGGAAAGGCATCCGGCCATTAAAACATTCTGCTAGCTCCTTTCAGTTGCCCAAATTCCACCCTGCAGGGGATTATGGGGTTGTTAAAAGAAGATGATGTTGTGTGCATCTGGCCAGAGAATTAAAAATACATTTCAAATTCAAAATACTAGTGTCCTCTTAAGAGTAATATCCGGATGCATACTGCCCCGTGTCTTGCTAATAAGAGGGGATTCAGAAGAGAAAAGGTCATTAAAATCCCTACCATTCGCTGTTTTACCATCCAACCTATTTATTCTCACCCCCCCCCCCCCCCCCCCCCCCCTTGCCTGCTGGTCTGACCGTTTCAGCCGCTCCTTTTGTTTCCTCTTTGGACGCTGGTGGGAATGGGATACGTAGGTTAATGGGTTCCCCGGCAGGATTTGTCTGGCAAGGGATAGGCGATGGTAGCTTGTAGACATCCTGAATCTTCCCATTTAAGACTTCGACACCCTGGGATCCCAGAATTTAAGAGAAAGAAAGACGAGTTGAGGACAAAAAAAAAATGGGTTCAACTTTTGCAGCCTTAATCAGAAGTCTTGTTCTTGAAATACAGTATATAAAAGTATATTTATACTACAGTATACATCAGGGGTGTCCAACCTTGGCAACTTTAAGACT